TTTTAAGCCAGAGGCGGCTAAAGGGTTCGTGATGTGGCTGGAATTTCAGACGTTTGCCTTTCCGATTCAATTTAAGGAGGAGCTTTTTTTATTTAAAAATTAATTTAAAGTTTTTTTTGATTGCCTCGGGGGTTTAGCCGCCCCACCCCCCTTAAAACCCTTATCCCCCCCCCCCTCCCCACATGAAAAATGTCAAATTGTCAAGCAAAACTAACTATGAGAGAATGACTGGAAAACTGACAATTTGATTAACACTAGCCGACTGTTTAACTGTGACAATAGATGGATCAAAACACACCAATTACATTATGAGTCTTCATAGCCAATAACATCACAGCTTAAAGTAACTGACAGTAGCCTTTGTACAGATACCCCCCTCCTGATTTTTTCTGAGGAGGGGGGATGTCTACACAGGCTAAACTGACAGACAACCAATAACATTGCGACTTAATTGACCAATCAGATCAATAACCAGAGTGTAATACCAGCAACTGACAGGATACAACTCACTTTGACTCTGAAGATGACCAGGGCACAGGTTGTTGAAACGTCAGTCACTGTCAACAACAACATTCCTATTCAGGACTATGTTCCACAGGACGATTCAAACTCAACGTACCTACTTTTGAAATACAGCATTGAGAACAGGTACTGTAATCAAGAGAAAAGATCTTCAGAATTAATAAAATGATCACCAAATGAAAATACTATGATAACTTATCAAATTCTCTCAACTAATTCTCTAAAGAAATGTATGGAGATCACTGTGGAGAATTAGTATGTAGGGCTTAAAGGGTTACCAGGGGAAGTGAAGCTCATGGGCTCTCACAAATTATTAATGTAAACAAACGTTTTGCTCCCAGACTAAGGCTGACAACTTCTAGTGTCATCCCATTAAATGTAACACATTGCAAGTTAAAATCCAAATAATTTTAAGTGTCAAAAAACAGACTGACAGACAATCATATTCAACAATCTGCCACAGGATTTTAGATTGGCAGGAAATGAAAAGTTTGCTATCTTGGGTTTATTGTGCAGGTTCTAATTAAAACTGAATTATCTTCCAGGTAATGCAGGAAATAAATATTAAACAACACATCTTATTATGGCAACCAATCAAATTTATTTAGTTTCATAAAAATCACTAATCCCTTGGTTAAACAAGTGTTCACCAAGAAGATATGAATTTTGGCAAGAAACAAAGTTGAGAGAGGGATTCTTGATCAGTTTGTTTCTAGTAGTAGATTTTTTAATCAGGTCTCAAATAAAAGTTGATGAAAAACCTAAATCAATCAAATTCATTTTGCAATGTATGGAGGACTGTATAACAATCTAACTTTAATCAACATCATTTCAAAAGGTTGTTTGCATTGAGGAGAAATAAACCCCTTGATTTTCTCATAATGATTCCAAGCATGAAAGAAATAGGTCTTCTTGTGTAAACTTAGACTAGTCAAATGTTATTTGTTGACTTGAGGTTATCTATTTAAAGGACTCCTGTTTGCACAAATAAGCTCCTGGCTAAAAACTGCTTTCATATAGGGATTTTTCAAACTGTACTTAATTAACTCCCACCGCTGTGTCCTGGAAAGGGGTCATTAGAGTTCAATCGATCCAAAACACCTTGGAGATCCGTGTAATAGGGTCAAAAATGTTCTTTTGGGGGCGATTATAAAAATTGATGTAGATATTTTTGTAAATCCACTGCGAGCTCATTGCAGCACTGATCCAAGAAACAATAAGAATAGGCCGAATAAATCATTACAAAACAAAAGATTCAGTGTAGCGAAACAGCGGTTTAAGGATCGTGGGAAAAAGGTGTTATCACGGCTGTTATGTGCTTCAAAGAAGAGAAAACGTTTAGTAATTTGATGGAATACTGTTGTGTCTGTTCAGTGAAGACACACTGTGAAAATACCTCCAACATAGCTGAAAAAAATATCAAAATAGCTTCATTTGCTACATTACTGGTTCACAGTTTCATAAAAAATTACTGACTTTCTCTTTGTTGTCAGTAATTAGCGAAGGAAAGCGTTGTGGAGTTGTTCGACCTCGGGGGAAAACCACTTTATGTTCAGCTTCAAATTGAATGGCTTTGTTGGTGATCGATAATCGATCCAGCCGGAATTATAAACTCCGCCTGTAAAGTTAGTCTGAACAATAAAATGCATCACAAGCCCGCTATTAAACTGCATTTCGTTAAATTTCATTAAACTAAGGACACTTTTAAATAAATTGATTTCTTTAAATTAGAGCTTTAAAAAGGAAGTTCTAATGAAAAACAAAACGAATCAAAGATGACAAACGGTATCGAGGAACTTAAGATCGCTGTGTCTCTGAAAGCATAGCATAATCATTTTAAAATAAAATAAACAAAACAATGTTTTTTGATCAAGGAAATGGACCAAGTCCTCATTAGCCAAAAGAACATCCTTTGTATGCAAGCAATTTCAGGGGAAATTTTTAAAAAACATTGTAATGAACTTGTACCGCCATTGATAATTAAACCGAAAGACCAAAAAGGTTTTTGACAGCTTAGAGACAATGTCAAAATTCTTCAAAACTCAGAAGAAATCCAGTGGATCGATTCATTAGGATGCGTTCTGGAAGAAATTTTGACTTTTGGCGAGTACGAAAGCAAATAAATTCTGACGAAGCCACAAAAGCAGTACACATGCAAGAGTTACAATATTACCTAAACATTTTTCTGAACAAAATACAACATCAAAGGAGCTTTTGCAATTTTACATGGTCAAAATTAATGCGCGCGTTGTAGCCGATCGAAGACCTCGAAGTGCCAATATCTGAGCACTCTTGTAATCCTTCCAAATTTCAGGTTGAGAAATAATATCCTTCATATCAAAGAGTTGCGAATAAAACTCGAAAAAGGTATTACTTAAAAGTTTAATGAAAAGGATCCCAGCTGCATACATTTTAAATTAGTTACTTTGTCTTTGGAAAGAAAGAAAAATGGTTGGACGCCAGGACGATCGTGCGAGCCAAGAAAATATTTGTCATCGCTAAAAATTGGTAGATCGCATTTCAGAAATTGATATCATCGTCGATTTCAAACCAGTGATTTCATGCTATCGGCCACGCATAATCCACAGGAAAAAATAAAGTGTTGAAAAAGAAAAAAAAATTTCTATTGTGGTTTCGAAGATATGATAAATAAATTGGACCGCTTTTTTAAAGCGATCTCTACCGCAAGGCCACTGTTATTAATACGTTCGAGTCAGAAGGCAGATTCCCCGTTTCACGGAAAGTAAACATACATGTAAATTCGATAACACTTTCTTGTGTCAAAGAAGTGTGAAACCCTTTAAGCTCAGCAATTTTAATGCGCTGCTGTTATTAAAATGTACTGGCCGTGAATTAAATTCGCAGCCATTGTAAGGCGACACAGACTGTTAAAGAGAATAAGAAGATTAGTGCTTTGAAATGCCTTTTCTGATCTGTGAAGCCAATATTCCAACCATGAATGTCACTCAATAAACACAATCCCCATCGCAAAGGATCCAGACCGCTTTATCTAACCCGTCAGCCAGAAAAAGCGATTTTCTTTCAGCAAACAATACCGACGTACGATTTTAGACGGAAAAAACATCTGGCTTAAGTTGTAACAATAAATAAAAAAATCGGTCGTAGCCTTAGTAAGAAAACACACTTGACTAAATCAAGAATGTTCCTTTTCAATTTTAATATCTGTACACTAATTTTCTTGTCTTGGACATACAATGTTGCCAAAATTATATAAGCTCGTATATACATCATAGACTTTGTCCATTTATGGAGGCATGATATGTTCTCTTTTTTTAGTTGTTCTATCATGAATTTATAACGCCTGCACGGTAAACCATGAACGAATCTAAAATATGTTTACATCTGATTTTAACCTCGAGGCTATTTTGATAATTTGGATGTAAGTTCGCGTACATTTTCATATGTTTTCTTTCGTTTTTTGTGAAGTTTCTTGTGGCGAAAATCGTGCTTTGAATTTCATTTGGAGTTTAATAAAGCCACTGTCCCTGGATTGAATATTATTCCCATCGGAGATCTTGCTTCGCGGCGTTCATTTCCGCTAAACCCTTTATGCTAATACTCTTTTCTTCTTGGCACCTAAATAAGCGAAGTCGCTTCGTCTACATTTCCTCCAAAACTGCCTTCTTCCACGTAAATATAACGTGACTCCAACCATTACAAACCCTTGGCAACTGACCATGCGAAGAAATCGCATGTTCGTCGAATTTCGTGTACTCGTGTTGCAGTACATTTCGGACACCTGAGGTCTTGCTTGTGAATTATTGATGCCAATTGAAATTCGTTTGAATGAAAGGCAGCCCCGATGAATTCCAAATTGCAATATTCATATGCCTAGAATTATTTTTCTACCTACGCGTGTCTTTTCATATGTAGAGCTAGATGATCCGATCGTGAAAAGCAGCGATCACAATGAACACATTTAAAAGGTTTAGCACCCGTGTGTTTTCTGTAATGCCGAGTAAGTTCGTCTGAACGAGCAAAGCGCCAATTGCAACCATCCCATGAACAACGGTAAGGCTTTTCACCCGTATGAGTACGTTGGTGAGCTTTCAGATGCGAACTCTTAGTATAAACTTTACGGCATCCACTAAACTGACAGCGATGTACTCTCCGTTTGCTTTCGGAGTCTTTGTCTTTCGGGCTGTTTGCCCTGCCGCCATTATTTCCACCTTTCGCGCGAGGCGACCGCGAAACAGGTCTGCTCGCTCGCTGCTGAGAATTATTGAACAGTAGCAATGGAGATTCTGGCGAGCTCGGTGGTGTTAGTGGTAAAACTGGCTTAGGAATTTTGCTAATCTCCTCGCAGCCTGCCGGGTTAGGTAATTTGATCTTTAAAGGTTTAACGGGGAGCTCCATAGAAGGCTTTGTTTCCGTTGGAGTTTCTGGAAGAACCGTAGGCACGGATGGAAATGTAGCAATAGCACTGAAATCTATTGGTTTGATATCCCAGTCATCGCCAAATGGAAAATTTGACTCGTCAAAAGGTTGCAGTAAAAACTCATTCCACGGAACGGGATTGCCTAAGTTTGAATCTTTGCTTTCCAAAGTTGAGGGTTCTGGACAGAGATAACGATCCATTTCAAGCCTTGTCTGTAAAGAAAGAATAAAACCCACGACATTGTGTAGCAGAGCTTTCGAGCGCGAAAATGAAATTTCCAAGTAATACGAAATGAAGTAAACATGGCAGTTTTACGACGCAAAAACGAATTCGTGCACTAAATCGCTAAATTATCGTTTTAGCGTCCAAAGCCCTCGTTTAAAAGGCCACATGCACGCTGGCCAAACTAAACAATCTCTTTTACACAACTCACGTACGAAGCTTACCTGAGCCCAATCGTCTTCGAGCGAAGGAAGCGAGTAGAAAAATCCAGTATCATGGACAGTTTGTAGTTCGTGAAATATCGTGGAGCAAGGAAGTGCAGATTGGAGATCCATGTTGTTTGCGAGGGAGGGAAGAAGTGAAAGGTGAGCGTCGGTGAATACTACGCCACGGCTCAGTGAAACGAAGGAATGTCACAATAACACAACACTGCAATTGCTCCAATGCTGTCATACACACTAGCGGACGCTGAAATTAATCGGAAAAATAATCTTGGGGGACCCAAGGGTGCTAGAAGTGCCGAGTGTAAAATTAACTATTGCCATGTGTTTTGTGATTGGCAGATGGTTTCAAATTCCACCAATCAAGATTGAGCCTCTGTCAAGACAACAATCACTCCAAACAAGAAATGTGTCTGACCAATCGACACAAATCACTCAACAAAAGCCTTATAAGGTTGAGTCTATTTTCGGCAATGATATAAAAATCAGCTGGAACACAAAGCTCGAAGGGCTCGGAAATTTCTCGCTGAAAATGCTACGTCCGATAATCGGATGTCGCGGCTTAAGTTTTTCACACCATTTATCTGTTTGTGTGTTGATTATCAGCGTTAAAATATGGCTAAATTCCCATCGAATTTTAAGCGAAAATCTCTGGGTTTTTTTGTGGTGTGACAAATTCGAAAACACATGATGTCAGTCACCGCGAAGACACCGTGATCTCGGCTGGTTTATCGCGTACGTGCTAAAGTAGCTATAAACCACACAAGCTGAAGGACTGAACAGAAAATCAGGATATTACGTTAAAAAGGACAAAGCGTCACTATTTTGTTTGATGCCAATTCAGAATAATAACTTGTTCAACCTTATTTTATGGTGCGTGACTTAACTGGTGGTTATTTACTATTTTCGCCACACAGTAAAAATAGTATTGTATACAAATGAAACAAACACGCTACGCAGTGGAAAGTCAGTTGAATAAATAGTTCCATCTTGAGTTTTTATTTCTGGATTTCTCAAAGCAAAATTGATTCACCTGCACTTGTCTTTCTGTCACCTAAAAGAACTGATGCGTATTTCCCTTTCTTTTCAAAGATATTTTAAGCTTAATATTGTCTGAACGTTATGCTTAACGTTACCCATATGAAATTTCAAAGAACACAACACTCACTCGATGTTCGCAATATTTAAATTCTGTGCGCGATACCAAATTATCTTTTGTTTTCATCGCGCAAATGTCTTGCTCGGCAAGCGCGGCGATCACTCAAAAGAGAGATACATAATTAATATGTCAATCAATAACTGTCTAGCAATTATGTGAGAACGCGCGAAAAATCTGAAAAGCGATATTCTCGCAAACCGATAAAACAATATTTGTATGTTGTTTGCATGCTTCAAAATTGTTTTCATTACATAAGTATTTGTAAAGAAGAGACTTTTATCAACCGAAGAAAACCACAATTATTTTCAAAGTCGATTTTTCGACTCCCTTCTCTACATGCTGCTCTATAAGCTTCCTTCTGTAAAATAACAGAACGGTACACGGGGTTCTTGAATGCAAATGTAGCACTTTGTGATAAAGTGAAAAATTCTTGACCCAAAGGCAATGTCATGTGAGACTTGTGAGAAAGGTATATATCCCTGCATGAGCTCAAATAAAGCGAAGTCGCTAAAGAGGCCGATCTAGCCTCCAAAATGCACTTGTTCAAGATAACGAACCGACAAGTTCTTTGTAAGTGATTTAATCTCCATTCATAGAACGGTCAACTCGTATAGTAAGTCCAATATCTGGGGGTATTTTTGGCGTATTTTGAATTTCTTTCCACACTACGAGAACAACTCGGAAGTGATGTAGACTCGAAGTCTGCAGTTTTGTAACGTAATGAAATACACAGGATAAAGTAAATATAAATAGATCCTTGTTTTTAAAACGGATGTTAATTGAGTTTTGTGTACTTTTTGTGTGTCCTCTAGCCTGTGTGATCTTCTGCGTCATTGACAATCGCATCAATCCATCAAGCTCAGATTTCAAATGAAAATTGACCCGAGTTTCATTGTCTGCCACGGTTGTCTGTTGTTGTTATCTGTATAATGAGCGGACTCCTACCGTTCGCTTCAAAACATAGGTTCGTCTTTGTACTTCGAATGCGCTGATAGACGGAGCGAAGATTCCACTTTCGCGGGAAAAAGTGCTCTAAAGTGTGTCTTAAAATAAACCGGTCTGTGAAAACGCCGTGACATAGCAGTAGTATGGGGAATGCACTCTCCAGGTTATGGGCTCCAGGTTGGTCGAATTGCAAATGGCAACTCTCTGAAGCATATTTTTCTTTTGTATGATAGGGCACTTGATGCTGCGCTCTATAGCAGCGCCCTGTGGTCCCTGCGCATAACGTTTGCTCTCGGTCGACCAGAATTTTTTTTATTTTTTTTTTTTCATAGAAATTGCTCCCTGCAGCAGTTTTTCTTAGAGCACACTCTTGACTTAACCCAGCCGGGACCGGGTCGTTTAGAGATCTTGAGAAACAACCTCAGCAGTGTATGTGACTTCCAAAGACTCCAGTATTTAAAAAGACTTGGCTCTTTAAATCTCCTTGATGGCTCTTTAAATCCTCGGATGGTTTTCCTGTACTGGATGCAGTTGAATGGTTTTCCACGTGTCAGTGATGGATCGACTTTGAGCTTCTTACCACGTTCAATAGCTTTTAAATCCTTCACTCACTCTCATGCAAAAGTGTAAATAAAAAAGAGAAAAAACAGCAAGAACAACAAATAATCTGATGTGTTTTCACTCACTCCATATCATTAATTTATCTGTTGTTTCTGTTATTATTTGTTAAAACAACAAACTGGACTGCGCGCACACAAAATTGAAAGCATAGCTGAGAGTGTAGGGTCATCACAGGCAAAAAGCCCATTATCGTCTTCTGTTGGGGGTGTGTTCGTGGGCAGGATTTCTGCATTCCATAAAATAAGTGGAGCAAAAATAACCACAATACAAATATCACGAGCTATTTTAGTTTTATTTGTATTGGCTCAGAATGAAATGGTTGTTTGATTGACATGGCAAAAGAGAAGCAAACATCACATGGCAGTAAACCGATTTAGTTAAGTAGAGGTTCAATAGTAAGGGCAACGAATTCGTGCACCTTTCAGCACAACATTGTTACTGCACGTGATGGAGAGCGGTCCTGCACGCGAGCGAATTGTCGCGCAGCAATTTCTGGTGACCAAGCTTGTAGCAACATGTTGCAGAAAGTAAGTCAGCCGTCTGCTTTGCGCATTACATGTAAACAACACTGACAACTGTTTCGCGACAAGTTGCTCGTGTGGATGGTAAAATGAACAACATCCGTGATCTCCAATGACGATGCACGAATTTGGTACCCCTATAAATGGAATAACCCTGTAACAAACCAGTCTCACTACTTAGCAACAACGGAACAGCAATGGAAACGAAGTACGCTAACCCGTGCGAGCGCGCTCCACGGAAAAATTCGCCAAAAATGCGTGGTTTTCTGATTGGCCAACAGCCGCGCTTAAGCTCCCCCACTTATTACCCCTGCCCATCTGCAGTCAGTACAGCTTGGTTCGAAGTGCTTTTTCTATCCAGTTATAACCAGTTACAAACCCCTTGGGGTAAAAGCCCCTCCATTGATATGCCCTCCACAAAAACCCCTTAACCATTTCACTGCCAAATGTAGCCAAAGGCAAATTTCGACCAAAGTTGCAAATTTCATTTTGTAAAATTTTGAAAAACAAATAGAAGAATGTGACAGTACATGCAGAGAGCTTTCATTTGAATGATCACATCGGAGGATTTCGTCCACAGACTCAAAAGTTAGCGTCATGTTACAAAACTCCACCAAGCAATCTGGCCTTGAAAGGGTTGAGAAGATCTAAACTGAGGGTTCATGCTACAAGATTGACGGGATTGAGTGACCATGAGTGGTATATCGTAGTGCGAGTTTTAAACCCAAAAGCTCACGAATTCAAATAGGAATCGGAGAGAAATGCACGAGCTGTCGTAGTCCTTTGCCGTTCTCAACACCTCCTGTATTTGGGGTATTAGACCAAGCTTTAAGGTGTGTGCAGGTTCATTAGCACGTTCGAGCCATCGTTCTCAATCTTTGACAGTACACAAATCTAAAGATGGCAAAATTAGAGTGCTTACTTCTTAAGTAAACGTGTGTTTCAGAATAAACGCAACATTTCCTAGAAAAAGGATGATGTTTTAGCTTTTAGTGCATGTTTTCTGTGAATGAGCATTTTTTCCATCAGTCTTGTGTGGGTGTTGGTGGTATTCATACAGGTTTTAAAAACAAAAACAAATAACCATGTTTTACGCAAGTTTGCCATATTTTATAAGATCGATAAGCATGTTGTTCTTGTTTTGAATTCTCAGTGTCAAGGTGAAAAGTCTGTGAAACCATTCTTCTGAACTATCCTATGGCACGTTTACAGAGCATCTGTATTTGTTTGCAGCACACAGGATCAAAACATAGTTAAAGAGTTCATTATAAGTAAGCTATTAGAAGTATACTTTTCCCGGTTTAAGCTATGAGCTTGAAAGCGCTCAATCCTTAATAAAAGAGGCGGTTTACTTTCAAGTATTGTTAGTCTTCGATTAGGTTCCTTTAAATAGTATTAGCTAAATCATAGGACTTAAACTCGCCCCTGTTAAAGCAAAGAACAATATCCGGATTAACAGAATTGCATAATAATTTTAGAAAGATCGAACACGTCTCAGTTCTGGGGATGAAATTTCGTGAATCATTGGCCATTTATTTCGTTTCTTCGTTGGACTAGGTCAATGCTGTATCGAAAGACTCAAAAGGTATTATGGAACTTTTTTAAGGACGTTATCACTTGCCTGCGCGCGCAGGATTTGTCAGTCCCGCCCAAGACTCCCACGGCACGTCCCTTCCCTAGGCGAAAGCCTGCGGACGAGGTTGGAGACCTGTCTATTATAATAATAAATTAAACAAGGAACGTTGTCAGGCGCTTTCTTTCACTTTCTTCTTTGGGGGGATGGAAACTTTAAAAGACGGAAACTTTGTTCTTGTCACAAAGGTGCCTGTTTAAAGAGTTGACTGGATGTCCTAATACATGATGGAAGAACTCCCCTGGTTCATATTGTAAACATCTACCCATAGCCAGCGAATGGCATATGTGAAAATTTTTTTTTTCTCTCTCATCCAAACTCCAACGTTTCCAAGACGATTGGCCTTGGCCTTCTTTTGAATTGCCAATCTCGGAATCTCGGAAATGACCTATTACCAAAAACAAGGTGTACGATGGTTTATTATTGACGGAAGCCGGAGGCTGAACTAGATATCGCTTATTGAGACCTAGATAAAGCACTTATCAAGCACGTGATAAGCGCTTTTAGCCGGAGCCAACACCAAGTGTTGACCTTGATAACAATTATCAAAGAAAACGTAATGATAAATATATGAATTTTATCAATATTTGAACTGCGGAATGAAAAAATAAATGTAAATGATAATAAGAGAACTTGAAGACTTAACTCTGATGGGATCTATTTCTAATCTATTTTCCAGAACAGTGCAGTGGCCAAACTGAAGAAACCTCAGTAATACATGCAGTCAACTGAAGTAACACCGCAAAATGTATTTTTATTAATTTTCTGTTAAGTTCCAGAATATCATCTGGTTTAATATTTTCATTTGGCTTTTATGACTATTTTGTCAAGATTGCAGTCTGTGTGGCAGTCACTCGAAAAACTGGTACGGGGAAAATCGGATGTGCGCATGTGAGAACACGAAAAGGTTGTGATCCTACGACGCGCAGCCAACGCACTCGATTTCCGGCGACGGCCACGCAAGTCAGAACTGCACGAAAATTAAGTCAATGAACAAAGTATCCTGATAACATCTTTGAGCTCTATGTTTTCTGTGGTGACTTTCCACGCAGCGCAAAATTCACGCGAGCTGAACAACGTTCATTTTCGTCCCTTGAGACACTCGGCTAAAGACCACGTGACCAAAAAACGACGGGCACTGGCGACGAGAATGTAACACAATGGTAAAACACTGGGTTCCGAGAAACTTAGCAAGCGCACTTGGTTTCAATTAACGACAGAGGCGCTCTCTTCGATGTTCAACCGAGAGTAGGAGTCATTATCACCACTAATTACCTTTAATGGTTATGGGCACACGTCTGCCAGACTGCTAGTTTTAGACCAACTTAAAGCACATGAATTATTGAGATTTTTTATAAGTTGTTGGCGTGTGACCTTATTGTCTGAAAAAAGAACAACGACAAAAGAAAAGATAAGGTGTAAAGAAGCTTACGAAGTCTTCAGTCGGAAGGAAGGCAGGTGGTTTGACAGTTTGCTTTGCTACAACATAGAGCGGTTTTCATTTGAGTGTCGAAAAGTAATTGGTTTTGCACTTTCTACACGATGCGATTGGCTTAAAAGATTCGCGCCACCTTTTCATCCAATCAGAAGTAAAACCAAAGCCAATTGTGACGCGCTCGCATGTATTTTCCCGCGCTTTGCGTCAGCCACATGTAATTACTTCGAGTTTTGATTGGTTCAGTGTATTGTCTGTGTCCTACGTGATTGGCCAGAGTAATTACTTTGGTTTTGGTTTTACGACACTCAAACGAAAACCACTCTATCTGTTAAATCCAACGAACATTTTACAAAATGCATGAAATTAACCCGTAAGTAAAACTTGCTTGCACTTAGACTGTCTTTTCAACAGCTGTGCTAACATAAAGATGCCATGTTACGACGAACAGTTCCACTAAACAAGATTTAGACAACGGAAGAGCACCCTTAAATTCAGAGGAAGTGAAAAGCAGGAGAAGACAAAAGAACGAAAGTGCTTTTTAGGGTCTAAAATGTCTGCTAAGGTGACGGCACCTTTGAAAATACAATGATCCACTTAATTCAGGCCTCACTAATTAAGCCGACTTGGTAAAAATAATAATGAATTATTCATTACTGTAAAGAAACTAAAGCAATTAATTTTACTCTGCTTTCGTGCAATAAGTGCTACAGTTCCTGTTTCATGACAGCCTAACACGAGGGAAAAATTAACACAAGAATGTCTCTGACAAGGAAAACTCGTAGAAACAATGGAGCGGCATATTCGCAAAAAATCAAAGGGAAATCGCTTTTCCGCTTAAATCAGGGAAGCTTAAGTCCGATAACACGTTAGACTATAGACTCTGGCACAAGCATTTTCCACTTTCTTGCCTAACGTTTGCACTTAGCGCCTATGAGCCGAGAGCATGCAATACCACCAACACATCTCTTTCTTGAGACGAGGTCTCTTCGAGTCGGCGTTGAGGCAGCCAAGCGCAATTTGCGTAGCAGGTTTGAACCGGCCTCTACACAAGCTTTTGAACGGGGATTACGCAAGCGCATGCGCAAATGCATCTGCACAAGAAAAAAGTTGAGAAAATAAGGAATCCGACTTAAACGCTGCGGTCGTTTCACGTCATGGGGAACGGGGATGGCGCAGTGGTGAGAGCACTCGCCTTCCACCAATGTGGCCCGGGTTCAATTCCCGGACTCGACGTCATAATTATGTGGGTTGAGTTTGTTGCTGGTTCTCTTCTCTGCTCCGAGAGGTTTTTCTCCGGGTACTCCGGTTTTCCCCTCTCCGCAAAAACCAACATTTCTAAATTCCAATTCGATCCGGAATGCTCGAGCGTTTAATACATGAGCCCCGGGCTCGGGAGATTGGGTAACCACTCCTCACGCTATCGAGCTTAAATAAAATTAATTTAATTTAATTCATAGCTGGTTTGCGAAGCAAGCGCCATACCACGCGCCAACGCAGGCGAAAAAAAATGCTGTCAGATTCGAGAAGTTAACCGCTTCATTTTTCACCAGATGATGCAGAGAAAACGGCGTATGGAGACAAGCAGACACATTCGCCACTTTTTGAAACGATAAGGAAACTGGAGCCGAAACGTGTCCCGCAATTGTTTCTGGGATGGTTACAGAGGACGGGCTGGTCAGCTATTGGCCAATGCTCCTAGCTATCATCACGATTTGTACACGTGCCCAGTTGCATAGCAAGACAATATCAGGGTTTGCCTGCGTAGCAAGCGTTTCCGTGCGGTTTCTGAGCAAAGAGTCAAAGACCGCGCGAAACCCCCCTCTCCCCCTCTTTCATTTTAATTTTTGGCTCTCGTTCCACTTTTCGCGCGGCCAAACCGAAAATCCCGTTCCTTGACCTTCCTCGGTCTTCTTTGCTCCGAAACCACACGGAAACGCTTGCTACGCAGGGTATATCAGGTGTAATTACTTTTTGAAATACACCGTTTTGGCCTCCGGGTGGTGAGAAAAGGTTTGCCATGCGCTCATTCTAAAGCGGACCACGCTTGCCAAATCATTACTCAATTTCTTTACCATTAGTCTAGCAGTTTCTTCGGGGTTAAAGTCAGTGTACTTATACAAACACGGGTAGGGGTGATTCGTCAGTACTCGTTCCCTAAACGGGAAGGATGTACATTTTAGAATGGCATTTAAGGCGAAAAAAACACACCATGCCGCTACTAGATAACTGCTTTTAATAGCTTTGTTAAGTATCCATTAATTTTTATCGCCCTTCCCTCGCTGAACGATGCTTTTTTCAACAAAGGCAAAATTCACTGTACATTAAATTCGTCTCTTCATCGTTCAACTTACCAAATCTTCCAGAAAAATAACTTCTTTTTTATACTACCAGAGGAGAGCAGATACACAGCTAATACAAAACAAATACACCACGCAAAAAGCTTCCCCAAGCCACATTAATTCTCGAAGGGTCTATACAACTTGTCTAGGTAATATTTTCCCGCGTAAGCAGTGTAGATTTCAGTAGGGTAGAGTGGGGGGTTACTGTTTTCCCCTGAGGGGGAGGATATGTCTTTATCACCAAGACGACAGGTTTTTTCCAATGTCTTTGAAATAGTCGAGCCTCGCAATTTAGAAGAAGTACTCCGTTCATGTTCCTTCCTAGTTGTAAGGCCAAGTGGATATCTCTCTTTTTAACTCCGGCTGAAACACGAAGGTAGGTTCAGCGTTGTATGCGGACTCCAATATTTATCGCCTCGCCGCCGCCAAGTTTTATAAACTGTCGTCACGTGATTACAAAGTTGACTGTCTTTGGTTCGTCGAAAAGGCTTCTTGTCCAGCCTGTTTCTTTTTCAGGGGAGGGGTGGGGTAACACGCTCGCTCGCCACGCACGTCTCTTGACCGCTTGGGTGCTCGATTCTCACGCACTCTCGCACGCTCGCTCAGTTGTCGCCGTCACGTGATCAATTCTAGGGGAAAAGGAGAATGGTTTATATTAGTGTGTTGCTAAGCGTACAGCATCTATATCAACGACCTTGGTATTGTTGAACGCTCAAATCAACCTCAAGGACTCAATCACACCCTTTCTAACAATAGTCTCGACCATGTACAGCCCATGATGTCTGACACTTTAACTTCATTACACTTGTATGCAAGACATGAAATTACCTGCGTCACACAATAGTGGCGTTTACGAAATTTCCCACCTACGAAACTATGGGGGCTTTACTGAGCTATGGAGAGGAGTCTTTGGCGATTTTTCCGCCAGATCTGACGTGCTAACGGGACATATGCAAATCACACAGTGCCGAAGTTGTTAATGATAATTGCGTATGTTTGGGCTTTGCTGACCGAGAAAGACTGAAATGAAAAGTCACATTCCGGGTCATTATAGACAAAAACATTCCTCCAGGCAACAATTCGAATTCATGAGCCTGTTGTCGCCCAGCGGCACACGGCACAGGCACACTGGAGTAATACGGAGCTCGCATTAATTGAGAAGAGCTTTCGTTCAGTCAACAGCTCGAATTCATGAGCCTGTTGTAGCTCAGCGGCACATGGCACAGGCACACTGGAGTAATACGGAGCACGCATTAATAGGGAAGAGCTTTCGTCCAGTGAACAATTCGAATTAATGAGCCTATTATCACTCAGCGGCACATGGCACAGGCCCACTGGAGTGTGGCTAAAAAACAGTGTGCAGATTTAGACTTGAGAATTTCGAAAAAATCAGATTACGATATAACTCACCTGTTGTTGCTTGAGCTTGCGTAATTCCTTAGTGGCCCAAGTGGCGACTTGTTTGGTTTTGTGAGTTTTTGATCGTCTTCCTTCTTGCAAAAGTTCATTTATAGCTTGTTTTTCTAGATACGGATGTACTTGTGCGCCAAACGCAGAGCAAATATCACTGCAAAGAAACAAAAATTTTGCATTGTAACTTTTAGAGAGTTAACCAATGTTATCCCCAAGTAATCCTTGGTGCTAACCAATAGGATCGCAGCCTCTCATGGTGGTTGCGACCGTCCACCACCTATATGTAAGCCACTGTGAAATGTCACACAAGAAATAACTGAGTGCTATACTTCGCATTTTGGCGGGAAATCATAAGGCCAACCCGCTTTTTTGGCGGGAATTTAAGCTGAACGGCGTTTCTGACAATAAGCGAACTGAGGGCAACAAGAAAGAAAAAAAATTGTAATCCGCACAGGGAAAAGTCGAAAAAAGACTTTATGGAGAGGCATCTCATTTGCTGGATGATAGCTCTGCCCATTTTAAATCCAGGTAAAATATTTTGCTTGTTTTATTGGAGTTTTCTTGTACGTTTGCGTGAACTGACAATTCAAACGTACAAGAACAAATTGTGTCTGAATGATGTTTTGATAAAAAAGCATACGATTCGGCCGTGCCAGTTCTCGTTTGGCTGGTAAAGGAAGTAAACGATTCAGGAAGTCATTACAATGCCATTCGAAGAGCTACTGATTCGCGGTAGATTTTCGTTATCTTAAAATTAGTTGGTTTGTTCTTTTTTTCTTTCCCGAAATGTTTCAAATTCCATAAGTTAACTTTTAATTAAAAAACTGGCAGAAGCCGCATCTAATCAACTTTGACAGGGGCCTATCAATTGCATCTATTCGGGGCGTTGTTACGTTTTCTTTTGCTTGATAAAATGCAAGCTATAAATATACTTCAACCCTGTTAAAGTTCACTGAAACGGTAAAGGTCCCCAGCGGCGTGAAGAAATGGGTGTTTTCGCATGCCAAGTATAAACAGCAACGGCATAGAACTGGAACAAGTCGTTCACCCACGCGGAACATCGTGCCGGAGCGGTTGGCCTAGAGGGTAGGTGAACTAATTCCCAGTTCTCATCCCCTAAATGCTTACTTCCCGTTTCGCCTTAGTGGATCCCAGTCCTGGCTCCTACCTATTCACTTCTGCTACGGTCCCAAATCACATGTTCACACTACACCATGGTATGGCACACAACCTATCCGATATGTGACGCTCCACGTTTGAGATCTGCGCAGCGCAGCTTCGCTAACTTCTAGAAATCGCGCCGAAATCACCGTTCTTATGTATGAACAGAAGCTCTACCCGGTAAAGTTTTCGTGCCGGCGTAAGAGCCATGCGGTATACTGTAAACATTACCTTAAGCTTATTTCTCTTTCCTCATCTATAACTGGGCGNTCTCTATCTTTACTATTTAAATTTTTAGATCATGTTTATATAGATTAAAGTAGATTGTAATTTTTTATTATTATTATTTTATCTGATAGATTTACCGTGTTTAAATAAAAAATAAAGTTCAAAAGTTCAAAAGTTCACCCACGCCGAACATCGTGCCGGAGAGGTTGGCCTAGAGGGTAGGTGAACTAATTCCCAGTTCTCACCCCTAAATGATTACTTCCCGTTTCGTCTTAGTGGATCCCAGTCCTGGCTCCTACTTATTCACCTCTGTTACGGTCCCAAATCACCTGTTCACACTACACGATGATGTGACACGTAACCTATCCGATATGTGACGCTCCACTTTCGAGATCTGCGCAGCGCAGCTTCGCTAACTTTCAGAAATCGCGCCGAAATCACCGTTCTTATGTATGAACAGAAGCTCTACCCGGTAAAGTTTTCGTGCCGGCTTAAGAGCCATGCGGTATACTGTGAACATAACCTTAAGCTTATTTCTCCTTCTTCATCTATAACTGGGCGCCTAAAGGACAATGAATTTCCTTAACTTACCCTACAAGACCGCACGCACTAGACACGTTGCTTTCAGAATGGTCCTGGTCTGTTGCTACGAGTTCAATAAATTGTATGATGTGCATAATATGGCGGTTAAGCACAGTGAGATCCGCTGTAAGAAAAAGAACACAATTCAGAAATCCACGACTTCAGTCCAATCTCCCGTCAGAGCCCAAATCCTACGCGAAAATGGATTCGAGTGCTGTTGAGTGCAAATCTCGAGTGCTGATTTATTCACATCAGTGGTCAAGAATTCTTTACCAAGAAATCCATAATGTCAATTTTGTGTACGCGTACTTGCGCCAAGGACATCGAGGTTACGTTATCAAAAACGATGTAAAAGTTAATGTTACGAGAGGTTTTACGATTTATGTCAGTCTTCAATGTTCACAACGACGTCTTACGTGAAACTGGGTTCAAGATTTTTGTTCCCCTTGGACAATTTATTAGCCTAAAACCGTAAAAATAAAAGTGATCAAATCCCAGAGCGAGCTGTTTACACAACGTGGTATTCCTAGTTTTCTTGGTATTCCTTATCGCGTCCACACTATACATCTACAGTACAAGTGAAACCGAAGCGATAAGGATAATACAGTTGGACGTTGTGTAAATTCAACAAGTGTCCAAATGGTTTAAAGCCGATGGGATCCAACGCTAAGCACCGAGTCTTTTTAAAACTCCCTTATATGACTGAAGCCCACGGAGTACTTACCATTCACGGTTCCCTCAGGTACTTCACCCTTTAGCCCTTGGATAATTCCAGTGTAAGCCTCTAAGCAGCCTTCTCTAAGCTCATTCAAATAATCCACCATGTCGTAGTCATTCTGTATATAAAGTAAACAGAAATGACCCTCTCAGTCCACAACTTATTCTTGTTTGTTCACTTTAATTAAAACTTTGTTAGAAAATGCGCTCTATCTTGTTAAAGAAATAGAGGATATTACATGGATAAGTTATTAAATATCAGAAGTTTTATCATTTTGCCCCGAATTCAATGAAAATATCCGTGCTTACTTTTGTGGTGAAGAAATGTACGATGACTTCCGGGGTGTATATTTTTGGAGAATACCTCAAGTTAGACAACTTGAAATAACTTTAAGTTAAATCTTGTCTACGTAGGAGTTCTCGTCGTCGAATCTTAAAGTTTCTAATGACACGCCACTTTCCAACTTGAAATCCACAAGGGATTACGGAATGTTACAACATTAAATGCGCCTTTAGAACAGAATACAAAAACATCAGAAACAGCGACAAACTGTAATTACTTTGTGAAAGGTTTGAACCCAGGAGTCATTTCAAAAGTAGGTTGAGTTTGATCATCCTGAATAGGACTGTTGTTGTTGACAGTGACTGACTATACTTACTTTGTCAACAGACGTTGCCGAGGCTTGATTTAGAGTAGCTATGACAACGTCGAAGTACGTCTTAAAGTTAGGTCCGATGGCCAGGGCTATGTCACTCACCTGTTGTTGCTTGAGCTTGCGTAATTCCTTAGTGGCCCAAGTGGCGACTTGTTTGGTTTTGTGAGTTTTTGATCGTCTTCCTTCTTGCAAAAGTTCATTTATAGCTTGTTTTTCTAGATACGGATGTACTTGTGCGCCAAACGCAGAGCAAATATCACTGCAAAGAAACAAAAATTTTGCATTGTAACTTTTAGAGAGTTAACCAATGTTATCCCCAAGTAATCCTTGGTGCTAACCAATAGGATCGCAGCCTCTCATGGTGGTTGCGACCGTCCACCACCTATATGTAAGCCACTGTGAAATGTCACACAAGAAATAACTGAGTGCTATACTTCGCATTTTGGCGGGAAATCATAAGGCCAACCCGCTTTTTTGGCGGGAATTTAAGCTGAACGGCGTTTCTGACAATAAGCGAACTGAGGGCAACAAGAAAGAAAAAAAATTGTAATCCGCACAGGGAAAAGTCGAAAAAAGACTTTATGGAGAGGCATCTCATTTGCTGGATGATAGCTCTGCCCATTTTAAATCCAGGTAAAATATTTTGCTTGTTTTATTGGAGTTTTCTTGTACGTTTGCGTGAACTGACAATTCAAACGTACAAGAACAAATTGTGTCTGAATGATGTTTTGATAAAAAAGCATACGATTCGGCCGTGCCAGTTCTCGTTTGGCTGGTAAAGGAAGTAAACGATTCAGGAAGTCATTACAATGCCATTCGAAGAGCTACTGATTCGCGGTAGATTTTCGTTATCTTAAAATTAGTTGGTTTGTTCTTTTTTTCTTTCCCGAAATGTTTCAAATTCCATAAGTTAACTTTTAATTAAAAAACTGGCAGAAGCCGCATCTAATCAACTTTGACAGGGGCCTATCAATTGCATCTATTCGGGGCGTTGTTACGTTTTCTTTTGCTTGATAAAATGCAAGCTATAAATATACTTCAACCCTGTTAAAGTTCACTGAAACGGTAAAGGTCCCCAGCGGCGTGAAGAAATGGGTGTTTTCGCATGCCAAGTATAAACAGCAACGGCATAGAACTGGAACAAGTCGTTCACCCACGCGGAACATCGTGCCGGAGCGGTTGGCCTAGAGGGTAGGTGAACTAATTCCCAGTTCTCATCCCCTAAATGCTTACTTCCCGTTTCGCCTTAGTGGATCCCAGTCCTGGCTCCTACCTATTCACTTCTGCTACGGTCCCAAATCACATGTTCACACTACACCATGGTATGGCACACAACCTATCCGATATGTGACGCTCCACGTTTGAGATCTGCGCAGCGCAGCTTCGCTAACTTCTAGAAATCGCGCCGAAATCACCGTTCTTATGTATGAACAGAAGCTCTACCCGGTAAAGTTTTCGTGCCGGCGTAAGAGCCATGCGGTATACTGTAAACATTACCTACTCACCTGTTGTTGCTTGAGCTTGCGTAATTCCTTAGTGGCCCAAGTGGCGACTTGTTTGGTTTTGTGAGTTTTTGATCGTCTTCCTTCTTGCAAAAGTTCATTTATAGCTTGTTTTTCTAGATACGGATGCACTTGTGCCCCGAAAGCGGAGCAAATATCACTGCAAAAAAACAAAAATATTGCATTGTCACTGAGGTAACTAATGTTATCCCTAAGTAATCCTTGGTGCAAACCAATAGGATCGCAGCCTCTCATGGTGGTCGCGACAGTCCACCACCTATATGTAAGCCACTGTGAAATGTCACACAAGAAATAACCCAGTGCTATACTCCGCATTTTGGCGGGAAATCATAAGGCCAACCCGCGTTTTTGGCGGGAATTTAACCTGAACGGCGTTTCTGACAATAAGCGAACTGAGGACAACAAGAAAGAAAAAACATTGTTATCAGCACAGGAAAAAGTCGAAAAAAGACTTTATGGAAAGGCATATCATTTGCTGGAGGATAGCTCTGCCCATGTTAAAACCAGGTAAAACATTTTGCTTGTTTTATTGAAGTTTCTTGTACGTTTGTGTGAACTGACACTTAAAACGTCCAAGAACAAATTGTGCCTGAATGATGTTTTGATAAAAAAGCTTACGATTCGGCCGTGCGCGTTTCTCGTTTGGCTGGTAAAGGGAGTAAATGATTCATGAAGTCATTACAACGCCATTCGAAGAGCTACTAACTCGTGGTAGATTTTCGTTATCACAAAATTCGTTGGTTTGTACTTTTTTTCTTTCCCGAAATGTTTCAAATTCCATAAGTTAACTTTTAATTCAAAAACTGGCAGAGGCCGCACCCAATCAACTTTGACAGGGGCCTATAAACTGAATCCATTCTGCGTTTTTCCATTTTCCTTTGCTTGATAAAACGCAAGCTATAAATATAATTCAACCCTGTTAAAGTTCACTGAAACCGTAAACTTGCCTAGCGGCGCGGAGAAATGGCTGTTTTCGCATGCCAAGTATAAACAGCAACGGCATAGAACTGGAACAAGTCGTTCATGGAATATGCACATTGAAAAAATAGCCAAGAAAATCGCATCGGGCATTGGAGTAATTAAACGTTGTAGGCCTTTTGTTAATCGAACCACATTGGAG